ACGAGTCGAGCGGTGTTAAGTGTCGCCCGGAGTGCGAAATATGAATCCATGGACATCCTGGCCTACATCGCTGGCCGTTACGATCGCCACAGTCGTAGAATTACACCAGTAGCATTTCATTGTCGTAATTCGGTCGCCTCCCATTCATCCTCGATAAAAGTATGTGGACGCCGTTTGTCATTGCTATTATCGTTACAACAACAATAATAATAGTAATTTTTTTATTTTATTTTATTTTTTATTAATATTATTGTTATTGCTATTATAATTATAGTCGTCGTCGTCGTCGTCGTCGTCGTCGTCGTCGTCATCCTCGTTCTCGTCTTCGTCGTCCTCGTCATCCTCGTTCTCGTAATCGTCGTCCTCGTCATCCTCGTCGTCGTGGTCGTTGTTGTGGTCATGATCGTGGTCGTAGTGGGGATCGTAGTCGTCGTCCGTGGTCATAGTTGTCATCGTCTTCATTATGTACGTTATTATTACTGTGATCCTTGCTTCGTTTTAATAAAGGATTCTCGTAACGCTTTTATTTATATTTATGAAGACGATGAAATATTTTATTAAATAAATGTTGCGATAATTCAAAATACATTTGTATCGGAAATCAACTTCTTTTCGTAAATAACAAATTTTTCATGCGTGAGTGCTTTCTTGATGCCTTTCACTGCGTGTTTGTGCTTGTAATTTACAAAACTGTTCAGAGAATTCTAAGAAATTCGAAGACAAAAGTCAGGGAAGTGCAGAGGAGGAAAGAGACACCACTTGTATATGAAGAGTGAAGAGCCGGTGCATCGTTTTGTAATAATTCGGGCGCTCGCGCTTTCGCTGTCAACAAATGTTTGCAGGATTGCAGGAGTAATGCCGGTGGGTTTCCGAGAAATCGAGAGTAGCAATAATTCCTGGAGGGGAGTTTGCGACACACGATATGTATTTGCGAGCAATGTCACTGCCGCGTTTTGACCATGAATATCGCGTGCACTGTTACTCCAAGTTCTGTCTGTTTGATTGTCTTTCTCTCTTACTAACATACATTCTAGCTCCCTCTCTCCCTCTCGCTTTTCCGTCGTCACACTCACGACCCTCCTTTCTCGTACACACAGACTCTTCTCCCCCCCTCTCTCTCTCTCTTCCTCGCGCGGGCTGTTAAATACTTGCGCGCGAGTGCACACACAGAGCTGCGTAAATGTGTATAACTCACCCGCCGCCTGCTCTTAAGGACCTCAATCTCGATTTAATCGTTCCACTACCGTTTCTTATCCGCCCCCTACGTGGTCATTGTAACTGTAGTTGTAAGTTGAGTCCTTTGGGACTTAAGCCGGAAGTGCTTATGCGAGTGCTATATGTACCAAATGAGTATCGACCTTTCATTTATATGTGTAAAGCCTTTCGATTTTGAATACTCTACCGTCGTCTCTCTCATTTCCCTCTACCTTTCTCCTTCCTCTCTAGCCTTATGGGTGGACACTTTCAGGATTGCATTTGAATTGTAAAATACTGAGTATAAATCGATTAGTTATGAATAGCATCTACGATTCGTTACGCAAGAATTGATGCTGTCACACGATACATCCTATGTATCATTTCTCTTTATGATCATTGAAGAGCATTATAATGAAAACCGTCTTTTGTATTTAAAAACGTTATTAATTGCCGTTAACATATGGATTAAAAGGAAAAGCCAATCTAATGTAATTTATACATGAAGGCAGAATGCCTATTATAAGAATACGCGATACACAATATCGATTAAAATTCAGCATCGTATTAATTATGGATTGAAGGAGCTTATAATAATGGCAAATCAAAAATGACAAATAGACATGTTAAATAAAAATACTTACGGCTATTTATCTCTTCTCAATTATTGCGCATAAAATGTCGAATTAATGAGAATTTAAAGACGCCAAGATTATTCGAGGCGTTCGGAGTAAAGTTCGACGTAAAAAAAATATAAAAAAAAAGTAGCGAGCCATGCGACAGTACGATAGTCAGTGGTGGGGATGGAGGGGCACGGAATCCTGCGCCCGAGTTATCCTCTCATGGACGCATGCCCGTGATCATCCCTTCCATGCCCAACAATTCCAGCTTTGACTCCAAATGAGATGGCAATGGGAAATATCGTACCATTCATGTTTTTGGACGTCCTGCTGCCTGAAATAGACAAATTAAATTATTTTCTGTATACGCTTAACGTTTGCTCTGAACATCATATGTATGTACATATATATATATATATATATATATACATCTATACTCTTTTCAACAAAAGTTCATTTTTATATTTCTTCTTCTTCTTCTTCTTTTTCTTAGTATCGTAATAATAACGATTATACCAATAATAATAATAATAACTATTATTATTATTATTATTAATATTCATGCTCATATTTGTATTTTGTTTATTATTATTAATTATAAATTTGCTTAACTGTCAATAGCGAATGCACCTTGGGAATGTAAGTATACAGTTTATAATTAAATGAATGTAAATGTATCGATTATTCCTTACATCACTGTTTATGTGAATCAAAGTAAAACACAATCAAGGACAATATAATAAAAATTATAAAGTTACAGTACCTTACGAGTAATTGCAAAGTCTAAAAATTGTAAAACCAATTTTAACACCCACGAATCGAGACTATTCAGAGTTTAAAAATTACTGTTAAGAGCCAACTCCAAGTCGGATATGATATTTGAATTTAGTATTAAGAATTATAATACCCGAGGCTTTTATATCGAAATTCACATTCAATTTCTTAATTTTTGTTCTTGTTTTGTTTATTCTATTATTTATTAAGATATACATAAGAACAACTGAACTAAAATTATTATCAATATTAGTTTATAATTAATATATAATTAACTAAAATTTATAATTAATTCGTGTGTAAGAGACGTATAATTTTGGTTAAAAATATTTTTTCAAACACTTTCGATAAACGGTTTTCCAATAAAGGCTCCTTAACGTCCTAAACACACATAACTTTTGTAATAAAGATTATAAAATATTCATAGATACCGTGACCCATAGCCAATGTCTAAAATAGTTATTGGTTGGTCTTACACTTTTCAAAGTATTCCTCTAGAATATCCTGAGAGCATTGGCTTTGCTTACTTGAAAGAAAATGAAAAATAAATAGTTATTGAGCTACTTGATCAAAATTGATTAAAAAAAAATTTCTCTTTGCAATAGAAATATTCCATTATCCATTTAACATCAAATTAATACCATTCGATTACTTTTCTTTAGTTGATAAACAATTAAAATAATTTTGCAAAAGTTAGTGAATCCGATTATTGATGAAGCTGAAGAATGCTTAAAACCAACTTTAATTATAAATTTAATCGTTTTACGGTTCATCGTTACTTCAGAGTTTACACTTTAAAATGATTCATTTACAAAATACTACTATATATACAAATTGTTTTAGTTAAGATCATAAATATTGTTTTTCTGACTCAAACAAATCTTATAAATACACAATTACCGTACACGCTTCAAATAAAATGTTTACAGTTAATTTTGATAAAACTCATCACCAATTCGCTACTTTACTTTAAAGATAATGGAAAGGAAATTCTACTTTTCAAATTTCATTGCAATTAAAATAGATGTATCCTATTAGTTTTAATATGATTATAAGCTCGAAAAATGTATTCTAATGGAAAATCCCACTAAACATTATCATGTCAGATATTTGCGTAGTACTGGAGATACAAAGAACCGCAAAAATTCATTGATACCGTAAATTTGATATTTATCGAACGCCATTCTGCATTCTGCAACGTCATTCAAAGACTGCATTTTTTTTACATCTAAACATGTACACAATCGATAAGATGATGGAGACGAAACGGCTGTAGCCGTAGGAGCACATGTTTCCCATATATTAACTTAAAATATACGCTTATAATGAAATAGATACGTCAATGCCCCCGTCATCCCAAATCAATCTTACCTCGCTGCTAGACCAAGTCCACGGCCTCGGTCACTGTAACATTGCCCCCCCCCCCCTATTAAGTCGCCGGTGGAGCTGGGGCCGGACAGCGGGTGCAAATCTCATCGAGCACTCGACCGGGCATACATAAAAACCAAGGCCGCGTCACGGGATGAGTCTGCCGAATGACAGCAACCCCTCCACCCCACGGCGACTCGACAGCCTCGTCTCCCGAAGAAGCGAGCCGCAATGACATATGCATCGAGGGGTGCATCGCCGCGATCAGCCGCGTGACCGCGCGTCCGCAGTCACCCTCTTTTCCGATCACATCCCGTTGAACTCACCGATACTTCCAATACCGGGGGGCCGCGCACAGCATCAGCTGAAATCCGAGGCGCGACGCCGGAGCCCCGAGTACCACGGATGGGGTTCGAAGACCTAGCCAGCGAGCGAGCGAGATAGTCTATCTTTGTATATCTCTCTCTGTGTATAACTCTCTCTGTGTGCGTGTGTGCGTGTGTGTGTGTGTATGAGAGAGAGAGAGAGAGAGATAGAGAGAGAGAGAGAGCGAGAAAGGGGGAGAGAGAAGTAAGCAAAGGGTGGGAGCGAGAGCGATCCCGGCGCCCCCGCGATGGAGGGGGTAATGCCACCCCCGCGCGCGCGCCCTCGACATGGGCTCCCAGTCGCTGATTCGCGCGCTGTCCGTACGGCGGCGCCACTCTACGGCCGTGGCTCGCGCCTTCCCTTCGACCCGGGCTGGTGAATTTTCGTCCTCGCGAGGGTCGCGTTCCGGGGCCGCAAGCCAAGCCCCGAGGTCCCCAATCCTCGCCGTCTTGACCAGCTCGATATCCGGGCCCCGGGCCCTATCCCCGGCCACCCGACTACGGCCTCTCGGCTCTGGGCCCCGGCGGCGGGAAGCGGGACTCGTGCGCGCGCCGGACAATAGTTGAGCGGTGGGGGGGTTGGAAGTGCGTGGAGAGCACCGAGGGATGACTGCCGCCGACGAGGGCTGCGGGCGCCGAGCGCGAGTTTAGTCTCGGTTAGTCTCGGTCAGGACGCAGGCCTAGCAGGAGCCGGAGGCTCACGCGCGGTATCCTTGTCCCGTCCCGCCTTGCCCCCGCACGCAGAGGCCAGAGGCACGCAGCGGAAAGCCGTCAGCACGAGCGGGGGAGAAGAGCCTCGAAGCCGCGAACATGCAGCAGTGCCAACGACGGCGCCAAGGACGAGCACGCGGACTGAGCCAGTAGGTAGAGCGCGAGCCTGCCTCCCATCCCTAGGGATAAGAGAGCGAATTTGCCGACGCGACCACTTGCGGGCCATCGGGACCTTTCACCAGTGAATGTGATGTGTGACAACTGCACCGTGGGCCCTTCGTTATCTCGTGCGCGGCACTCCGCTCGCCCGTCTCCTTTTCTCGCGCTCCCTCCCATCTTACTCCGCGAATTCTGTCGCGCGAGCTAATTTGTCAGGAATCGTCTCGGGCGAGAACGGATTTCGACTTTTTGAGGGCGTGCACTCCAGCCGAGGTGCTTCTTCCTTGATCATTGCTTACATAGTCAATGATCATATCATCTCGATAACCATTTAAGCTGCTTAAAGCTGTTTATGCAGTGGAACCACCTTCGAGCTGAATGGCAGTTTATTGATAGAAAATTAACCGGATAATAATAATTATTGGCGAATTAGTAAAGTGATTATGGAAAGTTAAGCGGCTGCGTGCGACCAAATATTAAAGTCACTTGACAATGGACTTGACAGGACTGACTCTTGGAGAGTGATGTATCGAGAAAATTTGAAAAAGCCTTGAGGTTAGAAAGTGATCCAGTCAATGAAAGAGAGAGAGAGAGAGAGAGAGAGAGAGAGAGAGAGAGAGAGACAGACAGAGAAAGAGAGACAGAGAGAGAGACAGAGAAAGAGAGTCAGAGAGAGAGACAGAGAGAGAGAGAGAGAGAGAGAGAGAGAGGTACGGCTACGTGAAAATACAAACCGTGACTTTTTATGTGACTCACGTACGTTAGCGAGCACACGAGTATCGCGCGCTCGCTTTGACTCAGGACTCGCGCGATGACACTCGCATTATTACAACGAGACGATCGTCGGACATTTCAGGTAGATTCCGCGGCTCGGCGATTTTATCGGCTTTCGTGACTCGCAAGTGAATCGCGATGAATCATGTAATGGTAGCCGGGACACGCCGACAAATTCACCTACAAATCGGAAGATCAAAAGGATCTGGCACATATAGGCTATGGTCTTTTCGTGTATCGCTTTTTTAAAATCAATTTTCGAAATGACTCCCTATACGACCAATGCTTTTTATGTTAATTTCTTTCTTTCGCTATCTCTCTCTCTCTCTCTCTCTCTCTCTCTCTCTCTCTCTCTCTCTGTTTATCTCTATGCGTCTCTTATTCCACGTGTGATAGTTTTTCTTAAGAAACCATCTCAGTGTCCCTTTCGGTATTTTAATTTCCAAAGTTAACACGGGTTAAATTTTCGATCTTTCTTGATTCTTCAGGGAAATTAAATTTCGTCAAGTGCACATGAAAAATGATTTGAATAAAAAATACGATACCTAGGTATAACGTAATTGCTTTATTAACTGCGACGATTCAAAATCGAAACACGATTTACAAATACGTGTCCATAGTTCGGATTCTTTCCTCTCCGATATTACCACCGATACTTCTAGCGTTTATCTCATGCCACGCGGATAAAATAAACGAGTGATAAACAGTATGAGAGGGAGTTTGAAAGAAAAACAGTGGAAGCGATGGGTGAGAGAGAGAGAGAGAGAGAGAGAGAGAGAGAAGGGGGCGGTCAACTTCAACTAACTTCTCGTATTCTCTAGTCGCATAAAGAGATGAGAACCTTTTTATCGAGAACGCGAAAAGTGTGATAAGAAGTATTACTATGGAGGCAGAGAATATTCTCTTCCTCCTAAGGTAAACGTTCATAGTCTGTAATAGATTATACTATGTTCTAATTTGACATCTATAATTAAGTGCGCATGTTTCATGATTTATTAGAAGATAACATATTTTTATCTTCAATGAATCATACAATTATTATTTTTAATATAAACAAAATCTATAGCTTCGTAGAATGGATTATAAGTGTGGTAACTGAATAAACATAAAAAATTTTCTATTTAAACGTTTTCATATCTTAAATTTTTTGTTATTACAATATTGTAGACGCAATAAATTCGAAGACTAAAAAAATATAATAATTTATTTTCAACATAAGAGGTAAAAACATACATAATACACATGATTAAGCAAATAATCTATAATAGCCGAATGAATTATAATTTTAATTGTGATGTGCATTACTTTAATATTTATAGTAATTTTGAAATTTTTATTAATTAGTATAAAATAAGTCATGAAACATATGATTACAAAAGTGCTATGAATTATTCAGTAGAAGAAAATATAAACTCCAATTGCTTGTAAAAGGGAAAAAAATGTTTGCAATTGGCAAATTCGATGTAGCCATTAGAATTAAACTGTTATTTAAAATTATAAACCAGCTCTGGACATCTCTCAAACAGTAGAGTTCGCCTCCTCCGTACACTTTATCTATGTAATAATTAAAGTGACTGAATGAAATAGAGAGGGGGGGGGGGGAGATGCGCGCGCGCCTATGTATGTATTAGAGAAAGGAATATTGTGCCCGGTACGAGTGAGAGAGGGAGAGAGA